CAGCCGCAGATATTGACGCGTTTACATCAATACATATATGATTGATGCTGTTTCTATAATGATACAATTGCTTGGGCTTTTTCCTGCTATCTAGAAATATTGAAAGCCTTTCAGATTTTTTTCATTGTATAATACATTCGATTAGAAAAAAAGTGATGTTTGCAAAACAAGATAGCACTATACGCACTAATTAAAAAATTCACGCTAATCGTTGAATTCGCAAAATGTTACGCAGAATCAATATATCAACAATGATAACGATACTTTTCAAGCCGTAAATACCACATTGGCAACTTTTCGGTCGGTAGCTTTTATCCGCGATAACAGGATATTACAATGTTATCGCATCAGAGATTCTCAAAATAGTTAAAGCAATTATATGATCGAACAAATGGGATTGCAATAAATTAATCTCAACCGGTGCACGGAATATTATCTTAACAAATAACGATTATGTAACGAATAAATACGGTACAATAAAAACAATTAACTATAAATACGATTTTTTTTTCACGTGCAAACGATGGACGATACGTGTTGCGTTAAATTTTTTTGTTTCTCTGGAAAACAAATTTATACATCGGTGAACTTTGTTAACAAATATTTCCAAGTCTTATCGTTATCTGCCATATGACATTAACCATCGCTACACATCACATTACACAACGATCGACTTCACATCCTTCTATATTCACATTCGTTTAAGTTTCACGTTTTTATATTTTTTCCGTCTCTCTAGTAAATTACCATTTGTTCTACTTTTAATGAATTGTCCAAAGAAAATTAATTATCGAATATTTTTGTATACTGTTCTGCTCGATATAAATTGCGGATCTTATAGATCGTGACTTGTTGCGTATCCAGGCGATAAATCTGTTGGAATACTTTTCGCGAAGAAGCAATATAGCATCAGATGAGTCATTCGACAAAACAAAAGCAACAATTACTTTAATATAGATCACGCAAAATGCAAATTGAGTAACAAATCCGAAGTGGCAAGTAAGAAAAAAATGAAGACTGATGTAATTAGTCCGATAAGAGGAGGAATGCCTCGCGATATTACGTAACATAAATTCTGTAATCGTAAAACGACTTAAGCCGTCTTATTCCTCGCAATGTAATTGCGCGCGATAATACCGATTGGGCGAGACACATGTCTTAAATAAGCGTCTTAAATAACGTGGCAAAGTTTAATTAAAAATTGTGTGCTATATGATGACCTTCTTTTGAGTTTGCCTCTTATTTTCGGTTAATTATAATCGCATCCGCCTTTGTAGCCTGCATATTAAAAAAAAAATGAACGAGTATAAAAAAAACCACATTGAAGCGAATGCGCGATATGATTGTAAGAAGTTCCGTCTTATTCGAGCATCCAAGGATAAAATTCCTCAAGGATTCAGGAATCCAGCGAATCGAGCACGTGGTTTTGTATGGCGTTTAACACCTTATAAATTATCAGCACGATACGCAGTTCATATATATTCGACCTGCATAACAGCGATTGAACTTGTGAAGCGTGAACCGGACGTGTCTATCCATGCGTGACTAGGAACGTGGTCTGATCTGATATTCTAGAGCGTGCTTTCTAAGATCGAAGATTCTAAAGATGCAAACATCTACATGGTCTAATTTCGAATAATGTTATTCCTGACCAAAATTGCCCAGGTATATCCACAGGATATACCTGTAAAATTTAGCTTTATTTTACGAACGCTCACCATCTATTCACACGATATTTATATTAAACTGTACACGAAATTCGAGACGGTAAATATAATGATAGTTACCGATAAAATAAAACTTTTTCATTGTTTACAAGCGAAAAAAAATTCAACAAATATCTCATATTTCTTCTCTTGCACAATGACGCGCTAACTGCGAATCCTCTTCTGCATTGTTTACTTGCAGATACTGGCGCGCCCTACGTATTGTACAAAGATAACATGGAGAGACCCCAGGGTCAGTGGGGCCCGGGGCCGGGATCTCTCCAGGACGGTGGACTGTACCCGCAGCAGCAGCAACAACAGCAGCAGCAGCAACAGGGTTCCTCCTCGTCGGGAAGCCCACAGCAGGCCTGTGGACCTCCGGTCGAGGGCGGCGAAAGTGGTCCTCCGCCCTCGTTAGCCTCGCCCGTGCCCTCACCATATCCTTCGGCGCCTCCCGAACCTCAATCCTTGACTCCGCCGGACGACGATATACAGTCGAGTCAAGCCACGTCTCAGCAGCAGCAACAACAGCAGCAGCAACAAACGCAGCAGCAGGTCCAGCAGCAGCAGCAGCAGCAGCAGCAACAGCAGCAGCAGCAGCAGCAGCAGCAGCAGCAGCAAGTTCAACAGCCACCTCAGCAGCAGCAACAACAAACGCAACAGCAAGATCATTCGCCGCAACAACAATTGACTCCTCACGCAGAGGTGGATCGCAGTGACTGCTTCCCCGGCGCTGGAGAGCTGCAGCAATATCCGCAGCATTATTTTAAAGAAGCCCGGCCGCACCCCTCACCGTCCGTGCCACCGCATATGCTTACGCCCGGCGGCTTCTCCGCGCTACACTATCTCAAGCAACCCGGAGTAATGCTGACGTCCCTCGGCCAAGGCGACGGCGGGCCTGGTCTGGACGCGCATCAGTACGCGAGTCCGGGCGCGCCGAACATGGCGACCGGGCTGCCTGACATCGTGCAGCAGAGCGGTAAATCGTCCAAGGCCGGTAACAGCGATCTACGTCTGTTCAAGTGCTTGACCTGCGGGAAAGATTTTAAGCAGAAATCGACTCTGCTGCAGCACGAGCGGATCCACACAGACAGCCGGCCGTACGGATGTCCGGAGTGCGGCAAGCGGTTCCGTCAGCAATCCCATCTCACGCAGCATCTGCGCATACATGCTAACGAGAAGCCGTACGCTTGCGTGTACTGCGAGCGTACGTTCCGGCAGCGTGCCATCCTCAACCAGCATCTGCGCATCCACTCGGGTGAGAAGCCATACCAATGTCCGGAGTGCGGAAAACACTTCCGTCAGAAGGCGATCCTGAATCAGCACGTCCGCACACACCAAGGCGAGCATTTCTCTCTGCCTCCCAGACTCCCCAGAGGGCGTCCGCCACAACCAAACACTGACTCACCCACCGGTTCTCACTCATTACTATCGCAACCACCATCGTCACCGTCACCATCGGCATCATCGCCATCGTCGTCATTATAATCATCACGTTCATTACCGCCGGCGGTACAATAACCCGCATACTAACGATTCATCTCAATTTTCACCTGTCCATGTCTGCACCAGTGGTGGATTTACGGTTCTAGAAAGAACAAAGAGTTACAAATTGACAATACGACGATACGTCTCGAAATAATAGGGGTAAATTCACGACTGGTCTCTCTGTATCAACTATATCCCTCACCAGCTTGCCGGAACGCGCTTTTTCTTTGTTTCAAAAGCTTCCACAACTAACGGCGACGAGTACCAGTATCCATGTTGTTGGCCTCGTTGAAGCTAAGGCCAACCGGCGGGTAAGAACGGTTGAGCTGGACGCGACAGCGCTGGTGAGCTGTGAGATAGAGCAGTCCCCCCCCCCCCC